TGGTTCCGAACGGACATTTTTTTTTTAAGAAGAGGTTCTCTTTGGCAAAGATACTCTCAGTGGTTTGCCATTGCCTTCCGAGAGGCGGCGATCGCTTCCGAATTGATTAAAATCAATTTCAGAGTTATATTATTCTGGGTGGATTTGAACCCGGATTTTTAGCTTATAAAGCTACCGCGCTGCTCTTCGCGCCACGATCGCTACATTTTTATTTTTATAAGAAAAATAAAAAAAAATAAAAAAATGTGATTTAAAAATTGAAATTAATTTAAGCTTAATCTGCCGAAGGATTCCGTTGTCATCTGTAACAGATAAAAGGAGGAGCATTTTAAAAAATGTGTAAAAAAGACGAAAAAAGGAGGATAAAAAAATTGTATCTGTCTACTCACGTTAGTTGTAAAAGCAAACTGTCCTTCCGGTAGATACATCAAGGATTACGCGCAGAGGCATCTCGCTGCGTGGGCTGAGGGGCGATTCCACCTTCGGCGTTGTAGCTGTGACTTCAATCTCCTGCGTCCTGGCTCTCGCCACATTTTTAGGCTCCGGCGTCCTAGCCTTCGCCAGAGCGCTGAGGAAACCATCCTCATAGTCGGAGGCGGCCAATCGCTTCCCCGCACGTAGCCAATACCTGCGCCAGCAATTGTCATACGATCGACTAATTGTCTTAACGTCGACTGACTTAATATACCGAAGGATCCATGGGAACCCGTGAGTAAAAATGCAAGCCATAGAAATAATTATCTCTCCTACCTAATAATGCGCGGCCGCATCGTACCTCAGGATGATAGTGATGCATACGTTATATCACATATACACACGCATTTCCACGAAATGATAGTAGCTTAACTACAAAGAATATGTATATGCACGAAATCGGTATCAAAACCGCTAAGAATCTAAACTGCAAAAAATGCTCGTACGAAACCACTATCAAACTGCCTATTGTACCAATACCTCTGTTCTGTTAAATAGCTATCGATCTGATACCTCTGTTCTATCGAACCGCTATCGAACTGATACCCCTGTTCTGTCAAACCGATATCGGTCCTAACTACAAAGAAATCATATTCATTCATTCGCGACCTTCATTAGTTAGATATACGTAGGTTGCTTTAAAAGTTTTGCGGATAATGCAGAAAACATCAATTATTTTAACCAATTTTTTTTTATTGTTTTTCAAAATATTCGCCTTTATGATCTATACACTTCTGCATTCGATGGAACCAGTTCTGA